TTTTTTTTTTTTTAATTATGTGTGAAAATACTCAATTACAAACTAGAAAAGTCCATTATGGGATAAATGAGAAATATTGTCATAGGCAACAATTCAGATAATCTAATCAAATACATCTTAAACAAATTTAATTCGTAAACAATATGTTTTGAAAAGAGAATGATTATTCATGACCAGCAAAATATAGATATAATTAGCCACCATATGCTCACAATCTCGAAGATGAATAAATCAAAAGATAGGACCAGCGGCAAGGATTTCCTCTCTCAATTTGTCATCTGTTCTAATCTTACAATCCATGAATCCCTCAAAGTTTTTCCTGAAGAGACCAGCAAGCTTCAAAAGGGTTTCCTTGTAGGCTTCTGAGTTAGACCACTGCAATTCAATAAAATCTCATGCATTAGTAGACAAACTTGGAAGAACACAAAGAATGATGAAAAATGGTACTGACAGTGTTCATTGGATCCAGGATTTCAGATGGAATTCCTTCCATCTCCGTCGGAATCTCCAGCCCAAAAACTTCAGTCTTTTTGTAGTTTGCCTCCAGAAGACTCCCTGAATGGATTGCATCAATGATTTTTCTTGTGTATGCTAACTTTATCCGATTTCCTGATCCATACCTGCCACAAGAGTAAGAAGTTTGAATCACAAGATTGACAATTACATGGATTTTTTTCTATGCAAATTGCATTCGCATGATTCCATACCTTCCCCCTGACCAGCCAGTATTAACAAGCCATCCTGTAGCCCCATGTTTTAGCATTTTTTCGGCTAACATTGCTGCATACTTTGTGGGATGAAGCATTATAAAGGCTGCACCAAAACAGGCTGAGAATGTTGCCTGTGGCTCCTTCACTCCATCCTCTGTCCCAGCAACCTGTTTTTTGCATTAAGAAACTTTTTGTGATATGAAAAAATTTAAGTGTCATGCATGGAAGTACAAGGCATAGCATGAAATTTGTGAGTACCAGAGCAGTATAGCCGCTAATGAAGTGATACATTGTTTGTGCCAAGCTCAGCTTGCTTACTGGTGGTAGCACACCAAATGCATCACATGCTAGAAGGATAACAGTCTTCGGATGAGTACCTACACATGGTATCTTAGCATTCGGAATGTACTCTATGGGGTACGCGGCACGTGTGTTCTCTACAAACAAAATTGGAAACCTTTTTCAATTATGATGCAAAGATACTAACTTATTTTGTATTTTCGATGAACACTCCATTACCTGTAACGGATTTATCCAAGTAATCTACTTCTCGAGTATGTTCATCAAAGACTACATTCTCCAACACTGACAAACAAAATGCAATTTAAATTCCCACATACCAAAGATGTAAATTGAGTACTTTTGCAACATTAGGCAAATATGGATTCTTACCAGCCCCAAATTTGATGGCATTCCAGATATCAGGCTCTTTTTCCTTAGACAAATCAATGCACTTAGCATAGCAACCACCTTCAATGTTTGACACCCCATTCTCACTCCAACAATGTTCATCATCTCCGATTAAGTACCTATTATGATCGGTAGACAGAGTAGTCTTTCCGGTACCTATAAGTACCCATAAATGAATTCAAAATCAACATAATCCTGATCAACTTAAGACTGAATTTCATCATTCTGTACCTGATAATCCAAAGAAAAGGGCTACGTCACCGTCTTTCCCCATGTTACAACCAGAGTGGAGGGAAAGGATTCCACGCTTAGGCATGAGATAGTGCACGACAGTGAACAGACCTTTCTTCATTTCTCCGGCATACTGTGTGCCTAGGATTACCATCTCCTTCCTAGCAAGGTTCAGGTCTATGCTAGTTGAAGATGTCATGTAATGAGTGTAACGATTACATGGGAACTGCCCGGCATTGTATATGGTGAAGTCTGGAGTACCAAAATCCTCCAGCTCTGCAGGAGTTGGACGGATACACCTGTAATTAACCCTCCCAGTTATCATATATACATTCACTAAGAAAAATAGAAATTAATCTTCCAGTTAAATTCATCAATTACTTACATGTTATGCATGAACAACGAATGGTAAGCTCTAGCAGATACAATCCGGACTTTGATTCTGTGTTGTGGATCCCAGTTCAGAAATTGATCATTCACAAAGACCTGAAATGCCAAGATTTTTTTATCAATTGCAGATGTTGAAACCAAGATCTAGAAGTTCTACTTAGGCCAA